TGTCACATCTTGGGTCAGAGGGAGGCCAGAGACCTTGCCCCTAGCCCCTCACACAAATATGACTAATTGAGGAAATTGGAAAGGAGCTCTTTCAGGATGGAGGATACTCCCAGCATCTCCTGTAGCCAGATGGATGGGTCCTCAGAGGACTCAGGGCCCAGGCTAAGAGAAGAGATGGAAGTTGAGAATGTTACAGTTAAATAATTCCTAGATTGCAGAACATCTTTGACTTTCATTGGCCTCTTTTGTAAAATGAGATCATGGGATGCAAACGGCCTATCATCGCAGGATGTTATATGAATCGAAGGCATTGTTTGCCACTCAGATTTTTGAGTGTAACGTTTTTATTGACAATTTGGAGGAAGATATTGGCTGCAGGTTTTTCAAGTGTGTACAGAAGACTGGGGAAGCTGGCTGAAGGCGGGGTGGGTGGAAGGAAAGCCCCAGGGCATGAAAACCATGGCTCCCCTTGTCCCTCCCCGAATGCCCTCTTGATGTGATCTGCAAAAAGCTCTGAGCTCTCCTCCTTTAGGATGTGGATCTAGTGGGTGGAGGCCAGGGATCCTGTCAGCGTTCTAAGGTGCTCAGGGTTTCCCTCCCTCAACACTGCTGACCCAGGGAACGGAGCTTTCTCCCTTAGAGGGGCTGCCTTGAGCAGTGCAGGGTGTTCAGCAGTGTTCCTGGCTTCTATCCATGAGATGCCAATGGCTCTGCTGCTGTACCTTCCTTTGTGACAATAAAGTATCCTCAGGGAACAAAATAACCCCTGGATAAAACCATTCCTTTAGACTCATTCTTTGCACTTTATTGCCTGCTTGGTAGCTCTGGTCATCAAAATGGTCTTTTAAATAAACCAAGCCTTATCTTCCTCAGACCTTTTCATACACAGACCCCCACCCCACAACTCCATTCCTGCTTCATAAAATCCTGCTCATCCTTGAAAATGCACCCCAAGCATCCCTTTCTTGAAAATGCTACCTCTGATGCTCCCAGGTAGCTGGGGTAAGCTTGCAGCCTACTTCTGGAGCCATGGCTGCATGGATTTTAAGTTTTCTCTTGTGACACTCCCTCCCACTGGACTAGAGTTTTTTGAGGGCAAGTCCTGGATCCCAGAGCCTGGTACATGGCCCTGTACGGAACGGATGCTCAGTCGGTCCTATTGAATGATATCGGTTCATGAATTGCTAATGGCTGGCCCAGGATGTATAATGTTCTAGTCAAAAAACATGGTGGTGCACGCCTATAAACCCAGTGGCTCAGGAGGCTAAAGCAGGAAAATTCCAAGTTCAAAGCCAGCCTCAGCAATTTAGCAAGGCCCCAAGCAACTTAGTGAGACCCTGTCTCAAAATTCAGCATAAAAAGGGCTGGGGATGTGGCTCAGTAGTTAAGCATTTCTGCGTTCATTCCCTGGTATGAAAAAAAAATCTGGGTCTTAATAAAGCAAAGGGCCCAGTACTCCATCCTCAGCAGCAGAGAATAACTCATCTCTTAGAGAAAGATTAAACTATTATTTTAATTAATTTCCAGGATGTTAGAAAGTTGTGGGGCACGCCTACCATGAAAACCTTTTAGCCTCTGCCTGGAGAAAGCCCGGGGAATGGCTGCTGTAGGCAACACTTCCTCTTTGAAAGATGCTTGAGGGGAGCTGCTCAGCCCAGTCAAACTCTGCTCCCTTCCAAGCAAATGCAAATGGGATCCCTCCTGTCCAAGGCGAAGCCCCGCCCTGCCGCTCCCAGTACTCTTGGCTGTGCTCTGCCTCCAGCTCTCCCCTCTGCATTGTCAAAATGGGAACAGACTGCGCAGAAGGAACGCGTTTGGTGCTGAGACCAGCGCCAGGGCAGTGCGAGGCGGATCCAGGCAATCTGCTGCACTCCTCCCAAGGAGAGAGAAAAGGCTTTTATTTCTTGCTCCCAACCAAGTCGGTGATGGGAAAATCTCAGGATGAGCAAAGCTGAAGCAAGCAAGAGATGCCCGCCCTACTACACTGGTGCTCGTGTGTGTGTGTGTGTGTGTGTGTGTGTGTGTGTGTGTGTGTGTGTGTGTGGTGAGGGTGGGTGGTGTGTGTGGGTGGTGTGTGTGTATGTGTGTGTGTGTGTGCATGTGTGTGTGTTGGTGGTGAGGTGCACATGCAAAAGAAAACTCAGAGACTCTCAGGAGTAAAAACCCATCAGGTCCAGCTTCAACCTGGTGTTTGAATTGCTTCAACTGTCCGGCCACCCCCCCCCCCCCATTGCTAGGACACCTTTGGTGACAGGGACTTCTCACCGCTTTTGGCCACTCTGATGGCTTACTCTCTTATCCTAAATCCAAAGATTTCCAGAGGCGTCTCCTTTACCGTCCACACCCTTTCTTTCCTTTCCAAAGATTCCCTGTGGCATAGTTTGGGTCCTCTCCCTCCCTGATTGTCAGCACAAGAGGTGACACGATACCCTGGTGTCCTGCAGCTAAGAGAGTACTTGATTTGGGATGAACACATTTCCCAGAGAGCCAAGGGGTGATCACTTAAACAACACTTGATAGAACATGATGGGGAATTCTAAGCAGGCAGATGACAGGCCCTTTAGATGGTGCATGTCCTTGGCAATTCTCTCTAAAGTTCTCACCTCTCCTGACTGCTCTCTTGGTACCCTCCATGCCTTCCTGCACCTCTGCATACCACCTCCCAGCAAGACCCGCCTCTTCTGTGCTGTCACTGAAAAAGCCAGGACTGATGAGAGGAAGCCACAGGAAGTCAGAGGACACCTGAGAGCAGGGCGCCTTCCGACAGCTGAGAAGTTCAACCCTGGCAGGGTGAGGAGGGCCAGGGGGCTGTCTGCACAGGGAGGGTGTGGCGGAGGCTCTGGAGACTTGCAGATCTGCTCAGGTGGATGAGGGGCCCCGCCGTCCCTCCTAGCCTTGTGATTTTGTCTTTGTGAGCAAGAGTTCCATAATGATGTTTTATGTGCAGCAAGGACTCTGGGGTGTGCTTTTGACAGCTAGCTGTAAGACAGAAAGTTCCTTTAGTCAGACAGCTGTGGGCTGCAGGCAGAGCACATTTCAGCCCTGGTCAGGTGGATGAGATGAGAGGAAGGTGCACTGTGTGACAAGAGAGAGGCCTGGCTGTGCCTCTCGTCGGGGAGGACTCGAGTTCAGGAGGACTTTAGTGCCTGTGAGTGAGTCCTCCCCACTCAGTTCTCCCCGGGACCATCTGTTTGCTCTGCAAGTGGGCAGAGCTGTGGAAAGTTTAGGGGTGGGGCTTACCACCTTGCTTTGGAATCATTTGCCAAATTCCTGGTCACCAGAGTGGCCACTGGGCTTATCAATGTGGGATGTCAGTTGTTTTAAAGACTTGACTCTCAGGTCTGGGAGGGACCTCTCAGAGGCTGGCACACTCTCCCACGCTGTCACCCAGCCTCTGCCAGAACATGCCCATTTTGATTTAAGGAGACATGGATGAGGGTTATCTGCCACCAGCAGGTAGATAAACCTCTTCCTTCCCTCATCCTCTCCTTCCAATGATGGAAAGATAACTATCTTCTAAGGTGACTGGCTCCATCTTGGGGTGGCTCAGCATCTACTGCACTGTCTCTGCCACTGCAGCCCAGAGGCACTGCTCTGCCCCAGGAGAAGGGGTGAGACCTAAGCCTGAAGCCTGTCCCAGAGCCAGGCCTGCCTCTCCTTGCTGTGAGCTGAGCACAGGGTTCCTCCCCGCAGGGAGTCTCCAGCACACACCAGTCTGGAAGGCTCAGTGTTCACAAGGAGCCCCTGAGAGCCCAGAGAAGGAGGCTGGATTACTCCTGGCTGAGAAGAGGACCAGGAAGATTTCACACAGGCAGTGATGTCTGAACCTGGCTTTGAAAATAGATGGGCATTTGACAAGGGGTTGGAATGGAGAGGTGGGGTGGTGCTGCTGGGAAACATGGAGGTCAAGGTGTGGGGGTCAAGGTCCTGAAGGTCTAGGTGTAGAGGTCTTCTCGTCAGGTCCCCCAAGAAGCAGTTACATGAGACATTAATTCCTTTTCTACAAACTGGCCCCTAAGCCGGGGTACCACAAGGCCTTGCCAGGGTGCAGATTCTAGGGCAGGTGTTGCCTGTGCAGACAAAACATCTGGTCCCTGCAAAAGGCTAAATGATTTATTTTCTGACGGAAGCAAACGCTTTGGAGAAGTCCTGGCGGCCCTAGTGACCTGGGGATGCCCAGGCACCTGGGGAACATCCCAGCTCCTGGTGGGGGAGCCCCCGCCACCCGGGTCTGGCCCGGATCCACGGGAAGACAAGCTTCCTTCTCACCTTTCCAGTATATCCTGAAACCAGAAGCCCCATGACACTGGCTCCTCTTTCACTGCTCTGGGATTTCGGTTCTGGCCGAGGCAGGACACCCACACTGCTGAGAAGCCTGAGAAGCCACTGGGACAAAGGTGCAGGGAGGGTCAGTTGGGGAGAGCATGGGCCTTATCCCAAATCTGTGTCCCCATTTCTGGGCTGAACTCGGCCCAGCATTGCTAAGGGAGCCAGGGCTATGATGTCTTCATTTTAACCACTTCGTTGCTGTGTGACCTTGTGTGTGTCGCTCTGCCTTTCTGAGCCCTCCTTCATATCCACATCAGCACCAGCGGCTCATAGGCTTGCTGCGGCTTTCCAAGCAGCTTTCCCAACATTCTCTCATTTCACTCTCTGCAAACTGTGGAGGGGGGAGCAGGCAAGGTGGCATTAGTTTTCATTTTAGGGAGGAAGAAATTAAAATTAAATAAAAGGATTGTTGCTTGCCCTTATGTTACAGCTGCTGGGCTCTGGACTCCAGACACCAAGCAGATAGTAGTCTCATATCAGCGTCTCCAGGAAATATCTGAGTCCCAATCAGCAATTTAAAGTGTGCAACATGAATACTCAGGGAGCATTTGGTTTCCAGGTTTTCGGACACCTCTGGAAGTGGGGCTAAGGAGGACAGGAAGTCCTGTGATTGACACTGCACTCTGTTTTTATGACAGTCTGCTGCAGGTACACACTTGCATACACTTTGCTCTAAGAAATGAAATAAAAACGTTTTACTCTGAAGCCACCATTCCAGCTGGACTGTTGGAGGAATAAAACAGGATTTAACAACAGGGAGCTTCTCTGGGACACGTTAGCATCTGTGCCAGGCCTTTCTGGAGTCCTTTCTGGGTCCTGGTGTGACTGTATCTCAGATCAGTCAGTGCTCAGAGTCTGAGGAAGTAGGTCGCAGAAGCGCTGATGGGTTTCTGAGGTGGGAGAGGTCCCTTCCTGTTGGGATGGGAGCAGGGAGAGGAGCAGAACGAGGAGAAAGAAGAGTAGAGACGGCATCGATGCAGACGCTGCGATCTGTAGAGAGCTGGAGAGGGGCAAAGGGGGAAGGTACAAAATTTGGGACCAGCACAGCCACTTACTCTAATCACTGGCCGCTTTGGTCCTCCCTGTACCTACCTGGACCTGGGTGCACACAGGTCCACCGCTTGGCACCATTGCTGGGATTCGGGTCTCCACAGTGCTTAACAGCACTTGACCATTGCTAGCCCTGAATGCATGCTGACTCCGCTAATGTCCCCCTTTCCTATAAGTGGATCATGCAGCTGGAGGGTAAAGGAGATGGAGTCAATCAGAACAAAGGAACCTCTGTCATCTTAGGCAAATCCAAAAAAATTCACCTCTAAGCTGAAAAGGGGCTCTTGACGAATACTACCCCATGGGCTTATTTTCCTGTGACCACACTGCCACCATCCCCTGAACACTCATGGTATGTATAGGCAGAGAACTGGAATGCCTGGGGCCGGCCTGGCTGGAGCTTCGCAGCAGCCTGCTCAGGCCCAGCTTGCTGGCAGGATAGAGCCTTCCAGGCAGCAGGAGTGGGGGTCTGCGCCTGGCCCCCCAGTAGGCAAGGAAAACAGCCCCAGGTCTAGTGTGTAGCCACACCGGCTGCTGCTCCGTGAGGACAGGCACCCGGATGTTCCCAGAAGGACTCTGGCGACCCAGCCTGCCAAAGCCCTCAATCTGATTTCCTTTGGGGAAAAGAAAGGAAGGAAATTGGAGAAGGCAAGAAAGAAAAATGAAAGAAAAACAATGGCGAGCAGGAGGGACGCGAAGAGCGGAGGAGAGAGACCCCGTTCAAGTATGAAATCAGAATAACAGGCTGGGATGGTGAGATGCATGTGAACAGAGTGTGACGTGGGCAACCCCCACAAATAGACCTTCTGTTAAAAATAGCCTTTGTCTAAATGTGGAAAGGGTGTAAATATAGTAGCGGTTTCGGCTTACTACGGAGCCGCCCCAGCTCCAAGTAACAGAGGCTTATTATAGGATGCGTGCGTCAGCAGCCAGCAGAGGGGAGGGCAGGGCAGGGCTGGGGAGGGGGCAGCAGGCCTGGCCTGGGGACAGTACCCCCCGCAGGACAGGGGTCAGCCAGCCCAGCCCTGGTGCAGGGAACTGGCGGCCCGACCACTGTGAAAGGCTCTCAGAGCTCGGCTGGGCAGAAAACTCAGGCCAAGTCGGTGAAGGAAGAAAGGAAGAAGGAATGCTGGGCTGAGAAGGATCTGGGCTTGCCTTCCCCGGGGGGTGTCACCAGGCTGTGTCCACTGTGCAGTGGGCCGCTGCTCCTGGACCCTGGGGGAAGTTTCCCTAGGAGCCCCTGGAAAGATCAGACCACAGAGAAGCTTCAGTTTTCTCTGTCCTGAGTGCAGGGAACAAAATCCCTGAAATCTGTGGAAAGTGCCAGAAAGGAACTTGGTTCAGATCTTTAAAAAAAAAAAAAAAAAAAAAGACTTTTTTCTTGTTAAATCTGTCTCCAGTATCAGGTGCTAGGTGGCCATGAGGGGTGGGGGTTGGGCTCCTGAGTTGGACCCCTGGAGGCTGCTGAGAGCACCAGCCTCCAGAATAAAATATGGACACTGGGGGGAAAAAAAACCAAAACAAAAAACAGTGATACTTGTTTTCTCTCTTCTCTTGACATTGATGGTCAGGGCTGACTGCCCATGTGGAGGCTAAGACTGGCTCCTGGATGTGTGTCTCCCATCCAGTGCCTTGGGAGTTGTCCTCAGGATCCATCACCCTCTGTCCAGGCCAGGCCTCTTCCCTATCCTGCAGGCGCTATGCACATATCACATGTCCACATGTTAGCAACACACACACACACACACACACACACACCCCTCCATCACACCGACCCTTCCCATCTCTAGCAATGCCCTCACCCCCAGCTCTGTCCCCACCCCAACCCTTGCTCCCACTGAACCCCGTGGGTTGTCCTGTTTCTGCCATCTGGCTCATTCTTAGCCTTGGACTTGTCCATTGGATCTAAGGCAAACCTGTGAACTTCTTCCCAGACACAGTGGGCGTGTGCTCAGGTGCCACCTCCTCAAGCCCAACAGGTGCACACCTCGATGATTTATCTCATGCTGCAGAACCACCTACTGATGCCCTCATCTTTCACCTACCCCACCACTCAAGACGGAATCGGACCTTCCAGCCTCCCTCCAGCATCATCCAAACTGCCCTGCAAATGACCTTTCTAAAATGCAGGGCCAAGAGTGCGGCTGCCCACTCCAAATGCTGGTGACAGCTCCTCTTTGCCAATGGGACAAAAGCCAAACCCACTGAGGCCCCAAACTGACTCCCACCTGCTTTCCCAGCTTCATCTCCTGCTACCTGTCCCATGCTATGTCCCCATAGGCACTGGACAGGAGTGACTGGCTGCAGGGACCATGCTAGACTCTTAGGCTCAATGCTTCACTTTGAGGCTGCACATCAAAATCCTACCCACCTTTCAAGGCCTGAAAAGGCTGCCCACCTCTTCTGGGAAGCCTTCCTGGATCTCCCCTCCCACAGTCATCTTTATTTTTACTCCTACTCCATTTCCTAAGTCACTTTTGTAGACTTGGAAAATGAATCAAGAGACCTAGTACCTTGTCTGGGTGTGGGCCTCCCATGCGCCCCCACAGAGCCCATGTGTCCCGCTGCCAGAATGCCTATTGCTGTGACAGAGTCTCCCCTGTTGCACTCTGGCTGTCTCAGGGCGGGGACTCCAGGGCCTTTTCCAGGACGTGTCCCAGCGCCTCTCATGGTGCCTGGCTTATGACCCTAAATGAGATGGTCCTCCGGGGCTCGACTTCTGCTATGGATTGAAAGCGCCTGTCTTCCTAAGATTCGTATGTGGAAACCCCGATCCCCGCTGTGATGGCTTCTGAAGACGAGGCCTCAGGGAGCTAACTATGTGACGTGTGAGGAGCCCTCAGAATTAGTGTCCTCCTAAGAAGAGACGGGGGTGAGCTGGTCTTCTCAGTCCTCCACCATGTGAGGACTTGGCAAGAAGACAGCAAACCAGGAAGAGGGCTCTCACCAGAACCTGGCCAAGCTGGATCCTGGTGGTGGGCTTCCTAGCTTCCAGAGCAGTGAGAAATAAGTTCTTTTATTGAAGTCCCCTCAGCCTCTGGCATTCGCTGCATCCAAAACTTCCTTACCATTGACAGGTGCTGCTCTCTGTGTTCAGGTTTCTCTACTATTTTTCACCGACCCTTCTGTTGCCCTGATACAGCTCTGAGGACAACCTGGACCCCCCCCCCCCAGATGCTGTCATGGGGTCAGAACTGGGCGAAAGTCTCAGCACTGCCTCTTCCCAGCTGTCCACCATTGGGGAAACTGCTTTACCTCTCTGAACACTTTTCCTCAACTGTAGAGGGTCTCTGTGAGGTCTGAATGAGGATGTGGGGCTGACTGCATCTCCCCAGCTGCACAGTGCTCTCTAAATAGCAGGCCGCTGCTGCAGCCCTCACCCACCCTCCAATGCCACTGTGGTCAAGCTTCAGGAACCTGCCCAAATGCAGGTTCTGTGGACTCCACCCCTGAGGATGTCCTAGAAAGTACTTTTGCAACCTCTCTAGGTTAACAGCACAAAATCTCCAGACGCTTCTGATTACCTGGTCCCTTGTGAGCACACGATGGTTTTCTTCCTCAAATTCTTGAAAAGAAAAACGGTTTGGATGGCAGTCAGGACTGGCAGAAGTTGGACTCTCATTGTGAACCGAGGAAGGAGGCTGAGAGAGGAAACGGGAAGAAAGTGGATATGCCGATAGCCAGGCTGGTGCTTTTCCAGGTAAGTCGACCTGCCCTGGCCCTGAGAAACCCTGTCCTGGGCTTGGCTGGTCCTGTAGGCTCCCAGGATCCAGCAGAACCGATGGACAGCCAGGAAAGCCAGCATCTGGGGAGATAGTATCTTCTGTCTAGGGCATGTGAATACAGTGGAAAGAGCCAGGCTTAGGTTTCGCAGAGTCCAGCTCCAGCCCCTGCTCTGTTTCCCTGCTAACAGAGTCAATCTCCTAGCCCCTCAGAGTTTCAGTTCTTCATTGACAAAATGGGGATTACTTTGAGGAGAGCCAAAATCCAATGTGATCATTTCGGAGAATTTTAAGCACAGTACCTGTGCTTCATAAATAGCAATCGAGAATGATGCTAAATCTATTTCTACAGACTAGTATTTCCTGCTGCCAGGAAGCGAGCAAAGATAACTGATTCAGAAAACTGAAGTCTCGGGATAGATTTTTAAAAACACCTTCCAACCAGGACAAAACCACCTCTGACAGGCTGGCTGAAGAACTTGCCATGGAAGCAAGGATTTGGAGAAACGACAAGAAATGGAATCTCTTGTAGGACTAGGCTAGCAGAATCAGAGCCTCATATTGTTTAGAATCTCCAGAATTTGTGCTCTAGTCTATTATCCTGAAATTCTTATGATTAAGATGCAATATATTTTTTCTAGATAACATATACTAAGAGAATTATACCTATATTTCTCCATGTAGACTTTCCTCCTCTACCTTAATCTTTTGTTTATGTGCACTTACATGTGGTTTCATGTAGCAAATGTTTACGAGGAGGTGGGGTGAGGTGTGATAGGGAGGGTCAGAGTTCAGTTTTTTTTTTTTTTTTTCTCTGCATATTGTTCAATTTCTTTTTCTTTTCTTTCTTTCTTTTTTTTGTTTTGGGTTTTTTTTTTGTATAAGGGATTCAACTCAGAGACCCTTAAACCACTGAGTCACATTCCTAGCCCTTTTTAAAAAGATTTTTTTAATTTTTTTTTTTTTTTAAATTTTGAGACAAGGTCTTCTTGCTAAGTTGTCTAGGGCCTTGCTAATGGCTGAGGCTGGTCTTGAACTTGTGATGCTCTTGCTTCAGCCTCCCAAGTTGCTGGGATCACAGGCATGTGCCACCATGCATGACTGGCAAGATTTCAGATTTTGAGGGGGAAATACTCCTGGTTCAAACCTTGGCTCTGCCTTTTGTCATGTGAGTGGCATGCTGTAAAGATGCTTGTACCTACACAGCCACCTACTCATCTACCTCAAAGACAGATCAGAGGTACTCTGCGCAAAATTTTTAGCATGATGGGAATGGCATCATCATATAACTTCACAACACATGTATGCATAGTGTAAATGTTTACCAACATATGCAAATACACCCACTGACACAGCATACATGGCTACACATGCGAGCACTCAGATGCAGGCGGAGACATAGCACGTGCACCTTTGCTCTCTAATCTAACTGAGGTGCTGGCAATCTTGCTTGTCGGAGAGTCGGAGTACTGAAGTATCGCTGAACCTGAGTCTCTGTGATGTTCTGGGTAAGGCCCCAGGGTGTGGGGTACAAGCTTCTGAAATGGAGAGGTGGATTTGCAGCCAAGTGTCCAAGGTAGATATCTCTGGGAAAGATGTCAGGATGGGGTAGTGAGGTGGCTGAGAGAGAAGATGCCCTGCAGATGGGGTGGGGTGTGGGAGGTGCTCAGCAGACTAAGGCCCTGCTGCTTGAACCCATATTTGTGTCAAGGCCACACTTCTATTTGGATGCTCGAAATCAATCAGCAACTGAGGGTGGCAGGGATCCTAAAGCAGGCCTTCTTCCAAGAGACAGGGAACTTGTTGGACAGGTGACAGTGGCTGGAGGAGCCCCCAAGGACCTTGCAGAACCTGCTAAACTACAGGCAGTCCAGGGGCTTCCACAGCCTCCCCCACTCCCTCCCATATCCACGTGTGTGACTTGCATCAAGTAGTGACACTCTCCTGGCCCTGCTAAGCCTCACCTCTATTCAATCACAGGTGTCTCCCCTACTAAAATCCTTGAATTTTAAATCCCATGTTTGTGTCTGTTTCTAAGACCATGGGCAGCTTGGAATCCCAGGAGCCCAGGGTTAAGAAGTCTCAGGAGCCCAAAGAAGAGTGGAGAAGAAGGGAAGTGCGGAGTTGGTGCCTCTGGTCATGCGTCGTACCCTGTTACCCTTCCCAACCACATTGTGGGGCAGGACAGAGCATCCCTGCAAGGTGAGAGATAGAGGCCTGGCAAGTTCTGTGACTCATCCAAGGTCATTAGATTCAAAAGCAGCAGAGTCTGGTGAGGAACCCAGGCTTCCTGATGCCCAAATCTCGGCTCTTTTGCTTGGTGCCATCTGTGAGCACCTTCCCAACAGCTTTCACGAACATCATATCATATCTGCAATGTTCCCTGAGAAGACTTCACCATTTCACAAATGAGAAGTTGAAACTCAGAAAGACCAGGGTCATTGCCCAAGGTCATTCTCTCAGCAAGGGACCAGACAGGACCCAACTTAGTGCCACACCTCTATTATCCTCCCTCTATACTACTTGAGCTCTGAAAGACATGTAGGAGCTGCCTGTTCTGCCTGGTATAGACCAGGAACCCCCAAATTCTCCTCTCTTTCAGGGAGCACCAGCCTTGGGGCAGGGGAGGGTGTGGCTGGGCTGGGGTCTGGCCTGGGTGCCTGGGGAGAAGCGCCTGCTCACCCCCATTGGAAACCCAACACTAGCTTCCTTCCCTCTTGCTTGAAAGTGCTCTAGAGTTTCCGTGCTCACAATGCATCTCTTTGGAAGGCTGCCCTCCGAGGGTTGCCATGGCGACTGTTTTGGTACTGCATGCTAGAAAAAGCTGAGGCACCTGCTGGTCACACCACCAAAACTTGTCTCTCTGAAAAAATCAGCAGATGGCATTTGTCAGAAATTCCTACTTCTTGATTAATTTGGGAAAAAGAAGAATGTGTGGCAGTGCTGATACCCTTTAACCTGGACTGCTCAGGTTAAGGGGCTTGGGGAAGATGCAAGACGGCTTGTACGTAGACCCCAGAGCTTCTTCTGAAGTGGCAGGTCCTTTAGTTTTCCTGGAGAGGCAAAGAACTTTGGTGATTTTGAGTCTAATAAATGAAAACCAGAGGAAGTTTCTGGATTTGCTTTCCTATTAGGTGGGGCTGGGACTTCGGGGTCAGTTCTGGTAAGGCCTATCCATCACTTCTAGTAACTCCCATGAATTCTTAAAGATTGGTTGGGTCCAGATTTTAATTAGAGGGAAGTGTCAAAATCATGAGTTTGATTCTGATTCCAGTTGTGCCACCGATGAATGGCGTGATGTCGGACAAGTCCCTCAGCCCTCAGTTTCTTTATCTGTAAAAGAGACATCTCAGAAGATTGCAATGAGGACTGGATGAAAGAGCCATTACTCTCATGAACTAGAATTAAATGTAGGCACGTGGAGATTGGCCCATTCACATAGTTTTTACATATAACTTTGACATATGACTTTGCACCTGTCCTTAATTCTTTATAAATCGATTTCCGTGTTTCTGTCTAGGCAGTGATATTACAGTCACAGCAAAATCAACAGCAACAAAATACAACAAAACTTCTGGGTGTACGTTGTGCAAGTGCTTCTACCTCAGTTGCTGTCTTGTTCTGTGTCTCTGGGAATTTCTCTCCCCCACCTCTCGTCCCCTGGTTCCCCCACACCCTTTCACGGCTTGCGGTACTATTTGTTCCCAGCCTCACTCAGACATCTCTGCCCAGAGGTGCGGACCAGCTCTGGAAGCATACATTGACCACCACTCCTGAATTTTGGGCTTGGCACTTTCAAGAATCTTCTGCAGAACTAGTGAGGTAGTCTTCTACTTTGCTTTCACCAGCTGATTCTCTAAATAGAATGAGATTCAAGTTCTCCACTGTCACTTTTGACCTGTCGTGAACCTGGTACGTCAGGGACGGTGACCCCTGGGGCCATGGCTCTCCCCTCCTGCGTCCATGACAGACATTGCTAATCAATCACAGCACTCTTCTACTGAGCCCAGGAGGGCCTGGGGACCTTCCAGAAGACTGTGCCCAAGGTAGCTATGACCAACTGGTCAGAGCACATAAAAGGAAGTCTATTTGTCATCTTTGGGGTAGGGGAAAGAACCTAAGAAAGAAGTCAGAAAAGCTAAATCTCATTCCAGTTCTGCCTTTCAGTATTTGGGTGAACTTGGACTAATCGGTTCCCTCCCTGAGGCTCAGCTTCCATGTTTGAAAAGAGCTGGATTAATTCCCTCCAGTTCTGTCTCTACCATCGGAGCAGCCAGCCCCTCCCCCTCCTTGTCACATACACACATACTCTCCCAACAGGTGGGCTCCCCACACCCAGCACAGGCTCTGATCTATTCCTTTCCTGGGCCTTGTCCAAACGATCAGATTTTATCAAACATCCTGGGGTGGCCCAGGGCCAAATTAAACATTCTCAGATGGTTGGAATTACCAAATCCTAGCAATTTTGTACTGAAAGTCACCTCAGAGCACACTGAGCTGAATCCTTCACATTAAAGATGGGGAAAACAGAACGAGAGAGGTTCAATGATTTCCTCGAGGTCACACAACAGGTGAGCAAGTTGATCTGGTCTCTGTTTGGGGATCCATCAGGTTTGAGATGAGGCATTGTCTTAAATTCAAGAAGGACCATAAGGAACCCAATCAACGGCAAGTCAGGAAAGATGCTGTCCGACTCTCTGGGTTCTCCTGTAGCCTGGGAGGAGACTAGCAGGGACTGTACACAGCCGGAGGGGTTGAGGAATGCCTGCCAGAGACCAAAGGCTGATCACAAAGTTGGTGCTGTGTGACTTGAGAGGGGTCTTGAACCTTCTCTGGGCTTTCATTCTCACTTGTGAAAAGACCTGATTGGATAATCACTGTCCTCAGACCTGCCAAGAAGCACAGCCCTTGAGAAGCGATCAGCAACACAATAGCAGCATGTATCTTGGATGGTCTCCTGTTGGTCTGGATGGGCTTTGGGAGCTCTCCTTGTATAAACAGGTCCACAGATTATTTGAATCTGTAGTCAGATCCAGTGAGTTGAATGGCCCCAAATCACCCACCGTATGCTGATAAACTGGTCCCCAGCATAACACTGTGATTGTTATCTTATCTGGAAAAGAGGGCGTTGGCAGATGCGTAGATAAGAGATCTGGAGATGCCGAGGTCATCCTGCAGTATCTGGTGAGTCCTAAATCCAGTGGTGATGTCCTCAGGAGAGTGAGGCAGAGGGAGATTCAGCACAGAGAGGGGACAATATGATCAGGGAGGCAGGGATAGGAGGGACATGGCCACAAGCCAAAGCGGCCCACAAGGATCTGGAAGAGGCAAGGAATGGACTCTCCCTTAGAGGGAAGGTGGCACTGTTGATGGCCTCAGTTGGACTTCTGGCCTCCAGAAATGTGAAAGAATAAATTTCTGTGGTTTTCCACCATCCAGTCATGTGACCTGAGCTCCACCAATCAAACGTGCCCATGGATGAATTTGGTTCGGGAGTGGAGCAGGACAGGGGGCTGCTCAGAATCCTCTTGTGGCCCCAGGAGCAGAGGAGGTGTTGGGGGCGTCAGAGCCTGAGGTCCTGGTGCTGATCTTCCATGGCGTCATCTAACTGCATGGTCTGACCGCTTTTCCCCTTTGAGTGGGATGCTCTGTCTGCCCTGGAGATTCTGTGAATCACCCAAAATTCTTCCATAAACTCTCTTTCCACTAAAATGAATTAAGGTGGGTTCTATTGTTTGTATGAAGCATACTGGCTGGTGCACCATCCTTGAAAGGAAAGGAAATACTGAGTATGAATGCCGCCTCACAGACACTTGTAACCCCCTCTCCTCCTCCTCCCTCCTGCCTCTCCTCTGCCAGGCCTGTCAACCACATCAAGCAGCACATCACTCTGAGCACGGCAGGCCCTGTGAACAGGGATGTGTTGGAGCTCCAGTCTTACCAAACAGCACTGGTTGTTTGGAGACGCTTAGGAAGGGCCACTGTTCTTCAACGGGGGGGATGAGAATCTCTAGGATTTGTGAAGGCTGTCCAGGGGGCCGTGGTCCAGGAGAGTTCAAATTTCCCTTTAGTTCCTCTTTTCCACCTGCCCTGTTCTGGAGTTTAAATCATCTGTAAAAATAATGTAGGGCAATTTTCACCAACCCTTCTGCACTGATTCTCAGGCTGAGTGGCCTAGTCTTTCCCAGGTCCTTCCTTGGAAAGGCTTGCACTTTGCTATGAGAGGTACCTGCAGGTCCATTTACTCCGAAGGGCTTTCAATGCAATGGCAAAGTGATTCCAG